CGCACAACGCGCGCCGGCAGCTCCCGCGCCGACTGCCGGCCCTCCGCAACGTCAGCACGTCTTGTAGGACGCAGCGCGCGGCCAAGATTGCTCCCGCCGTCACTGTGCGCCCCTGGAACCGCACACGCGTCCGGGAGAGATGCGGGGCCCGGTCCTCCCCATCCCCAGCTCGTCGGGCCGCTCAGGCGCTCTCCGCCCCGGGGCGCTGCTTTGGCGGCCGCCGCCCAAGGACCGACACAGCAGTGGCACCCGCGAAGCTCCGCGCCTCGCGGCGGCGCCAAACGCACAACGCGCGCCGGCAGCTCCCGCGCCGACTGCCGGCCCTCCGCAACGTCAGCACGTCTTGTAGGACGCAGCGCGCGGCCAAGATTGCTCCCTCCGCCGGGAAAATGAGTACCCGCGCTGTGGGTTGCATACCCATAGCCCTAACGAGTACCCAGTCACTCCTAAAGCAGGGGAGAAGATTCTGCACTGGCCTGGGTGCAGAATGGAGCTTGCCACGCTCGGGTCTGGACCCAGCTAGAAGGAGGGTTTCGAGGAAATAACTCTTAAACTGCAGCCGCAGGCGGTTCGGAAACCTCCTTGGTGCTGTGTAGACCCCTGGCACCCGGTAAGGGCAACTCTACTACATTTAGAGCCGGGACTTTGCCTTGAACTCAATAACCCAGGGTCTTCTTCGACTCTAATGCGTTCGCTGCCCAGCGTGCTTGGAGAGGTGATGCAAGGCAGCGAGTCTGCTGTCTTTCCATGAAACGCTGTTGGCATCAAAAGACCCGTTCCCATAGAAATGTTTTTGCACGCATACTCGTTCTTGCGTGCACTTCCAGGGCTCTAATGAGAACCCTGTTGCCCAGCTCGCAGGTGTCTTGACTGTTTAACCTCCTCCCTACCTTGAATGGCTTTAAGGGAGCTTTTCTTGATCTGATTTTTAAAGCTCAAGTAACAAAGAATCTATTGTCAACTGTCAAGGCAGTGTCTTACGAAACCCATTTTATAAACATGTTTGAAAATGTCATAGAAGATTCAGGTCCCATGTTATATTGTAATTTGGTGGTTTTCCTCCCAGGTTATCTCCCACCACCAGAGTTACATTACCCACCCATACCCAATCTTGCAAAATATTCTGAAAGCTGGTCCAGGATCATAAAAGCCTCCAACCTTAAGACAGGTAGTCCAGCTTAGGAATTCTGAGAGAACCCTTTTTCCCTTTCTTAGTTCTTCAACTTGCAGGGTTTTACATACCTACGCAATTCTATCTTTGATAGAACTTTGAAACCTGGCCCAAGTGAGTGGTACCCACTGTAAAAATCTGGAGCCTCCAAAAATTGAGAGCAAAGGAAGTGTGTACGCACACACACACACACACACACTGTGGACTCAGAAGCAATCAGTGATTCCAACAAGATGGATTTACTGGAAACAACAGAAAAGGGACTGATTGGGAAGTGCATGTCTCATAGTGATAACAACCTGCACTTTCTGGAACCAAAGGCCAGAAACTGGTGGAGAGTCAACATTACTCCCCTAGATGGTACAAAGTTAGGTTGCTGTGGATAGTTTCTAATCGTGTATGCACACCTGGGCAGCTCCTACAGTCTGAGCTCATTTTAAATAAGGCTTTTGTCTATTGTTTTTCATATTTTCCCCTTTTGATGTAGATCTTTCTCTCCAAGCATCAATAATTAACAACCAGCTACCTACCAAAGTCAATGGCCTCTTGTCCCATAGTGCCAGGAGTCATGTCCCTCATCTCAGGGAGGTAAGCAGATTGGGAACCTACTGAGGTCACATTAAGAGTAACAAGAATGGTAAAAGAGAGATCATAGATTTTTTTTTCTTTTTAATATTTATTTATTTTTGTGTAGAAGACTTGAGGTGGGGTGGTAGTAAGAGGATTCACCAGAGACAGTGGGGAGCAAAGTTGGCAGATCTACTGCTGAGGGGAGCAGCAGGTGAGACAGTAGAGGTCTGCTGTGCCATGTGGGTCACCTCCCTGGCCCAGATATTTCTTTCCTAAAATCTTTATCTTTTCTAAGTCTTAAACTGTTGATTCTCTCCAAGCATCTATCCAGCATCACCTTCTCAAGCACATTATTTCAGCAAAAGTATTCTGAACAACAAGTAAAAAATTAAGTATACAGAGAAAAGTCAAAATAATGTTTTGTTTTGTTTTTTTAGCACACACACACACACACCCACACACACACACTCCAACAAACTTATGTAACAAATTGGGAAATGTTCACAACAGCCTTTTCCTTTTATGGAAGGGAGTAAAAAAATGACACAAGAAATAGCAAGAAAAACATACAATAATAAAAACACTAAGAAAAAAACACAAACAATACAAGAACGCTGGTTTGGTCAGTTGCAAAGCTGCTCCTCAGCTGCTGCAAGTTCTTGGAAATCTTCATTTTCCGGTCACCCAATAATGTTCAGCCAGGATCGGACGCATTCTTCAGATATGTCACATGGACCCCAGGGTCTATTCCCTGAAGTTTGGCTGCACTTGTTCACTGACTGGTGATTGCTAGCCAATTTATACAATGATCAGGTTGGGTAAGCAAAGCAAGAACTTCACTGCTTGACCAACAATGAAGAGAATTTGCATTTCTACCCAAAATACTTTCCTGCTTGGTGTTAGGAGATGGGTAATTAAAGCAAAGAAGGGATGCCCTCCCTGGTGGCGCAGAGGGTTAAAGCACAGCACTAAGAAGCTAAAGCCATTTTTGCATGAGTTAGATTCCCACCTGCCCGGGAGGTGACCACATGGCACGGCAGACCTCTCCTGACCCGCCCGCTGCTCCCCCCAGCAGTGTACTTCCGATGATCTGCCTGTTCAGCTCCCAACTCTGTCTCTGTGAAGCCTCTCCCACCCCTGAGCCTCTGGCCTGTACCCCAGTTCTGTATGTACAAATAAATAAATCTTTAAAAAAAAAAAAAAACAAAGGAGGGAGCCGGTTTTCTTCAGCGTTAAACCTTGGATGTGCTATTTCCTTACATGTTTGTAACTCTCAGCTGGTCTGCAAATTCAAGCTGTTTTTAGCTGGTCTGCAGTTTGACCTTTATACAACAGTAGCTCCTGCAAGATTCCACCTAACAGAGAACAATAACTGGAAGAACATGTCCTTAGTGAAATGTTAAATGTTTCAGTTTTATACTGGGTAAAGTTTTGCACCTGGTAATACAATGGGATTGGCAGCAATCTGTGATAGGGTCATTTCCAGCAAGGATGAAAAGGTTTTCTGAGGATCTTTTCCAGTAGCTTATGGGGTGTGTTGTTTAAGGTCTTTATTTCCCTGGAGCATCTGTGAAAAGATGACTTATCTGGACATATTTTTTATAGACTCAATTAAGCTTTTACAATATTAATGTGTATCTTCTTTAATCAATTGTGGAGCAAAATGCAGAGCATTTTGAGCATTTGAGCATTCTGTGGCATCCCAAAAGGTGAGAGTTTGAGTTCCAAAAGGATTGGTGGACCTGAGACATACAAGAACAGGGGGCAATGCTTATAAGACAAGTTATCTTCAGGGTCTCTATCTATTTTACCAGTCAAGTTATAATAGTACCACTGATGCATTTGACTAAATTAGATGATTGGTAAAAAACCTGTGAAATTGTTACAAAAACCAACAAAAAGGCATAAATTTGTCAGGGCAACTGATCAGTAAAATGAGATCATGAATCAGTATGATATTCAAGAAGTGCTCCCTAGGTAGGTATGTTCTTTTCCTAAAGGATTTGGTGGCCACAGGAGAGTCAATAGCTTCTTTATAAGGGAAAATCTTAGCCTAGTCAGGAAACATACAGACTATAATTAAAATATATTTCTCAGCATGAGATAAAGGTAATTAGATGAAATTCAATTGCCAAAATGCTTATTATCTATAGGCAAGTTAGAATGTCTAAGAGAGGGCTTCTCCACATGGCGCAGCAGACTCTCTTGTCTCACCCACTTCTCCCCTCAGTAGTGTATTTCAGTCAATCTGCCTGTTCTGCTCCCCACTATCTCTGGTGAACCCTGCACCACAGTTCTTCTTTGTATAAATAAATAAATAATCTTTTAAAAAACAAAACTGACTTCCCTGGATTATAT